CTTCCTGCAAGCATTTCCTGCTCAGGGAGCAGAGGCGAACCCTCCCCGGGTTCCTGTTCCTCCCTCCCTGAAGGGCCAGAATCCTCCCCCAGCTCAGAAAAGCCTCCCAGCTGCAAACACAGGTGATCCTTGGAACAAAATCCGTTTATTTTGCTTTTCAAAGCTGATGCAGTTGTCATTGCTGCTCCCGTGGTTGTCATTGTCCTGGCACTGGCCAGCGAGGTGCCACATCCCCTGGGGGTGGCAGGGACACCGAGATGCCACATTCCCTGGGGATGGCGAGCACAGAGAGGTGCCACATGCCTGAAGGGTGGCAGGGATGTGAGGTGCCACATCCTGAGGGGTGGCGGGCACAGCGAGGTGCCACGTGCCCAAGGGGTGGCAGGGATGCAAGGTGCCACATCCCCAAAGGGTGGCAGGGACAGCGAGGTGCCACAGCCGCACTTCCCGAGCCGCCTTGGCCCCAGCTCCTTCTCGTGGCTCTGCTCGGCACCCCAGCTCTGGATCCTGGATCCTCCTGCAGGGACAGCCCTGGGCAGAGCCGCTGCTCCGCGCCCTCTCCCTGCCCTGAGCCCGCAGAGCCCCGCGACAGGCCCGGCCCGAGGGTCCCGCAGAGCCCGGGATGGACCCGGGACAGGCCCGGCCCGAGGGTCCCGCAGAGCCCGGGATGGACCCGGGACAGGCCCGGCCCGAGGGTCCCGCAGAGCCCGGGATGGACCCGGGACAGGCCCGGGAGCCACCGCAGCCGAAGCTACAGAGGAAAATCGAGCTGGGCTCTTTCTGCCAGCCCTGAACACCGGCACTGCTCGACACGCCGTTTGCCCTTGGCAGCCAAATGTGGGGATCAATGAAATGCCGGTGCCATCCTGAGCATGGCACAAAGGGAGTGCAGGGGCCGGGGTGCTCGGCCAGCAGGAACGGGGTGTCCAGGTGCGCTGAGCTGGGAAACGGAGCCAATAGACCTGTCTGGGAAAGGCCAGTTCGTGCTGGGGGTCACAGGAGACACCCGCAATCCCCCTGGAAAACAACTGCCCCGAGGTGTTTCCTTCAATCAATTAAAGTTGTGACGTTGTGATCAAAAATTTTGATAATCAGTGATTTGGGAAACTGGAGGAACTGCAACAGAGGAACCGCAACACGTGGCAACAGAGCTCCCTCTAATGTCAGCTGCTGCCTGGCTGCACCCACCTGCTGCCCCATTCCCTCACCTCCCTTCCCAGTTCGCTTTGTTCGCTGCTCCCCCTTTCCCTGCACCCCCAGGTTTCTGCTCCCCACTCCTAACCCTAACCCTAACCCCAGCTCCCCTCACTCCCTTCACCCTGAATTCCCTGCACGCCCAGCTCCCTGTTCTGCACTTCCCCGAGGACCCAGCTCCCCGTGCCCCCTCGTTCCCCGTGCCCCCTCATTCCCCGTGCCCCCTCATTCCCCGTGCCCCCTCATTCCCTGTGCCCCCTCATTCCCCGTGCCCCCTCATTCCCCGTGCCCCCTCGTTCCCCGTGCCCCCTCATTCCCCGTGCCCCCTCGCTCCCCGTGCCCCCTCGCTCCCCGTGCCCCCTCATTCCCTGTGCCCCCTCATTCCCCGTGCCCCCTCATTCCCCGTGCCCCCTCATTCCCTGTGCCCCCTCATTCCCCGTGCCCCCTCGCTCCCCGTGCCCCCTCGCTCCCCGTGCCCCCTCATTCCCCGTGCCCCCTCGCTCCCCGTGCCCCCTCATTCCCTGCAGGGAGGGCCTGGGGTCCCAGTGTCCCTGAACCTCAGAGGTGTTGTCACAGGAGGGTGACAACAGTGGGGGCTGATCCAGAGATCCTGGTGCTTTTTAGATCTCCCAGGATCTAACAGGAATATCCTCAACAGGTGCCATTTTCATACACATCCTGTGGATGGAACGTGCTGGTGCAGAGAAGCCCCAGTACCAAATAAAATAAATTGTGGGCAGTCCCACAAGTGCTCAGACACGTTCGAGCCTACGTAATGCGGTGGAGCCGCTTTTAACCTGGTAGAGGAAAAGATAATTAAGAAAGAGAACTTTTATTAGGGCAATTTCACTTTATTTTTTCCATACAGCAAGGTCAACTATAGCAGTAATAATAAAATAAGCATAAACCCAAATTGCAGCCCAGGACAGAGTACGTAACTGGAGCAACTACAAGCAAAGTAAGTCTGTGGTTACGTAAGAGCAAACCCAAGCGCGCCCGTCCTTCCAGCAGATGGCCCGGGGGCTGCAGCTCGTTAATTCATGAATTCATTAATCACTGATTGTGGCAGCTCCCAGCCCTGGCACCACAGCACGAGCGGGCTCCTGCACCGTGACAAGGGAACCTCTCCCAGGCTGCTCTCACCTGCTGAAAGAACAGGAGCGCTGCGAGAGAACACGATCCCCTATCCTGCAGCTACGGGTGCTGATCCGTTTGCCTGTCCGTGGTTGAACTCTGTGAATGTCAGTACTTGTTTTGAAGAATCTTTTTTTGTGAACAAGAAACCACTGAAATTGTCAGAAACTGGTTTGAATAGCATATATCTTTAATATATTTTGATACTTTAAACATGCAGTAGATTTTGAATAATGTACGGAATATCTGAGCCATGATTCCCTGGATGGGCTGAAGTACCTGCGGTTTTTTTTTCTTTTTTTCCTTTTTTTTTTTCCTTTTTTTTGTTTCTTAATGATTTTCAGGCAGATTTGACCCAGTGGAGCTTCTGTCAGTCATGAGATCTCGGAAGGATGGCAGATCTTTCCAGCTGAAAAAATCCTGGCAAACTACAAGCTGTCCACATAAAGCAAAGCAACTTTTTGGAAGGGGGATGGAGTGCTAACTCTGTGCCACTTTTGCAAGCAATTTTGTTCAGCCTGTCATTTTATTTAGCCTTAACAAAACTCCTTGTAATTATAGACATTTTTATTCAAAATAAGATCTTACTATTATACAGGTTTCTCTCTTTTTTGACTATATACAGAAGTGCAAAAAGTCAACCTTCGCTCTCGACGTCCCAACTGCAGCATAATCAACCCTCAAGAGTTTGCACACACACACTAGAATTCTTGTTACGTAAACTTTGAGTATTTGGATTATCAACAAAAAGTCCCTTGATCTATTGATTATGCAGCTTATTTATAACAAGGCCTGATATTCAGGGATTTCAAAAAATATTTAAACAATATTTTAACATTTGAAATGGATACAGTAGAAAATAAATTTTATTCTAATATCTAGGAACTAGATTTTTTTTTCTCATAATAACTAATTACAAACAAAATAAATCATCAAAATATTACTCAATTGTCTGCCAGGATTGTTGCCATAGCAACAACTTAACTTCTTACTTAGCAATGATTATATAATTATAAGATATCCATATAAAAGATCTTTGTTCTTTGAATGAAAACTAGACAAGAACTAACAATGACTGACATTCTTACATTGTCGTATTAGATCAGTAAAATAGAAATCATTTAGTTAACAATAATACGAATACTCATAAGACACTACATATAGATTCCAAACTGAGTATGTTATGAAGAAAACTACTTTTTTTTTTTGTATTTTGAAAAAGTCATCAGTAAACTCTAATAAAACAAAATTCTATGAACTGAAATGGTATCAACTGGTAATAGAAAATGAAAACGAGCTAATAAATGTAAGAAATAAAAACTACACTTTTAACAAGAAAAAAATAAGTAAATTCTCTATGGTAAGTCACTACAATAACATGTGAAGTCACCTATACTTTCTTAACACGATTGAAATTACATTGGTATGGGTTTTAACCCGTAATGTAATAATCTAAGGCTTTAATAGATGTACAGTACAATCAGGAAAATCAACACATCATTCTTATCTATAAAGCATCTCTCTCAAGCATAAAAACTCGCGGTAAACTCGGAGTATGGCGAGTTCTAGAACCGAACCCGCGCCTCTCCCTCCCTGCCCGCCCGGGGCCTGGCCCCAGGCAGCCCCTGGCTGAACAGAGCAAAAATATCCTTTACTGGCTGCAACATCCAAACCACAAAAAGGAATTCCTTTGGACGAATCCATTCTTAGAACTTGAATGCACATCTATTTGTTTGTTTTCATTTTGTAAAGGCTTTCTAAGGCTATAAGCAGTTAATCTGAACAAAAAAAAAAAATCACATATAAAACTCACCCGAGTATTAACCCACCCAATTTCTACACTAATTAACGTCTCATTTGTCCTATTTTGGTTTGTCATGCATCTGCTGTCAGTGCTTCTGCGTCTTTGTTTAGAGTCGCCGCGGACGCGGGACTTGATGAATTAAAGTGAAACCCATCTCTGCAAAACATTTATAGTCCTTGTGACTCGAGACAGAGGCTATAAATAGAGCAAAAGAAGTTCCTCAAACATTTGTTACTGTGTCTCAGAAATGGCTTTTCCCTTTGCAGATCACCTTATACAGTAACTATGCATAAATACGACATACAACGCCTTGGGAGAGTTTCTAGGTAATATTGTCCGTAAGGGTTATGCACAGCTGGAGCATCTCTCTGCTGCTGCCCACTGGCTGTGAGGAGCAATTGGCCATTTCTGAGACAGCTTTGGTTTGAAACAGAATGGTGCCCTTTGACTGATCAGTACTCATCAAGTCAGTGAAAACGCGGTTCTGAAAATAACACTGCGGAAATAATACTCTGATGGATGTACAGTCTATGGCACTTCATGAGAATCCTTAACAACGTGGTACTTAAAGCCATTGATGTGCTTTAAAATATACACAGTTGTGGTTTTGCTTGGCACATTCATCTCTGTCAGATTCCTCTCTTCTCATTTCTTACAATCTATTACATTAAAAATATTACTCTTAAACAAAAAATTACTGTGCATGCACGCTCTCGTCTATAATGGCAATTTTAAATACAAGGTGCACCTTTGTTATTTGTAAACCTTGAAAGAAATAAACTTACTTTAAAAAATTATATCTTGGTCTACAGACGTACCAATACATAATAGATGTCTGGTTACAGCATCGTCGGTCTTTCGGGCGGCGCGGGGAGAGCCCGGGAAAGGCGGACGATGCTGCGGGCCCGGACAAGAATCACCTCAGCACAAATACCAATTCAATTTACAAAGTAGATAGGCAACAGTGTGCAGCGGAGTCCCACGGTCTCGCTCCGTCTCGTTAACATGCAATGTGTGATGTCACTGCTGAGGGGTTCCCGGTGCTGCTGGACAGTATTTACATACGCTATGGCTAATGAGCTCGGCCTCTTCCCACCCCGATCCGGCCTCTTCGCCGCCGACACCATCTGGGAAGGGAAGAGCACAAAGTGTTCTGGGCACAGCCAGGACTCGGGTCACACACACCAGCCCCAGCTCCACAGGGGCTGTGTCCCTGCAGGGCAGCAGAACCGTCCCATCCCACTCGAGGCATCCCACGCACCCCAGCCCGTGCCATCCACCCTCCCCGCATCGCTCCAGCACTTTAACAATGTCTATGCTCAGCTGAAAGGAGCAGCTGTGACTAAAAACCCACTGTAGCCAAAGGGTCAATCCTCACCCTCAGAAATAATGCCATTATGGCCAAGGAGGTCAATAAAAACACGGCAGAAATGGAGCACAGGAGAGAGGAAGGTAACACAAAAGAGGAGCCATCCTGGGATGGGACGGCTGCACGGGTGGGAATCTCACAACAACAGGAGAATTAAGTGTTTCCAAACCCAGGAAATGCTGGAGTTCCAAATTTTGAGATTTAAAAGCCATTCTTTCTGAAGAGAACCTGATGGAATCGTCTTCCCCCCAAGTATGCTCTCAGCTCAGTGCTGAGGCCACCACAGACAGAGCATAAACCTCTGTGAACCCTGATTCTGCTGGGTGGGCATGTACAAACTAACACATGATGTGCCACTGGTACCCGTGGGATCTCCCCCCAGAGAGGAATGGCCCCTCAGGGGTCAGAGCCTCCACCCCCAGAGCTTACTGGTTTTATCAGAAAGAAGTTAAAAACATTCTGTCCCTTACAGCAACAAATTGCACACATAAGAGTAAGAAAAAATACAGCAACAACTCATTGGGAACTTACTGTTTGATGACCAAATGTCTACATCTGTGTAACATACTTGTGGCTAGTCAGATGTTCGGCAGATATTATGGGTATCTACAGGTAAGAAATGTAAACAGTGAGTGACAGGTGCAATGAGCCCACCCAGAGGCACAGCATTTGCTACAGAACATCAGTTTGGGAAAGGGATGATCAGCTGTGAGTCGGTGGATTTTATATTGTAACTATGAGTTAAAGTCAACTGAAGTGCTACAATAGCAACTTATAACTGGAAAACACTGGGTTAAGTACTAATGGACAAATATAAATAAGTATTACTGGTTGTTCAGGAAATAGGAGAAGTTAACATCTACAAGTCATGCAGTGCAGTAATTGAAAATAGCCCTTTTTGTTGGCCTACACAAAATTCTGTGCTTTCAGTGTCTCAGATGATGAACTCTACAGTGGCCTCGGTTCAGTGCGATTTTGCGAAGCGTTCACTGCTGTCGGTGTCCTGGGGTTTGAATGCCAAGCCTACGATGCCCTGAGCTGGTGAAGATGCCTGGCAGAGAAGGGCTCTGCCCTTCCCGGAGCGGCCGGCACGCAGAGCCTCCCCAGCAGGGAACAGCCCCAAAGGGCTGGGCTGCACACGCAGGGCTGAGCACGGGGCTCCCCTCGCGGCCCACCTGCCCAGCGTGCCGTTTAACAATCCAGGATCACACAGAGGGCCAGCAGTGCCGCTGGCAGGGGACTGCGCCCTGGCCGCGGGTCACGGTGACACTGCAGCGCCCAGGGGAGCAGACGTGCCCGGGCACAGGGAACTGAGCTGGGGCCGAGCACACAGCGTGGATCTGCACAATCCCAAATGGCCGTGGCACCTGGAAAGACCCTTTTCCCTGATGGGCACCAAGGCTGGCCTGTGAATCTGCCCACTAAAGAGAACGGGGGTTCCTTCTCAGCTAACTCACTGGCAGGTCCTGCTGCTGTTTTCCACCCATGGGCCCTCTCCTCCCCTGGCAGCTCACACATCACAGCATTGCCAACTCCACAGAAACGGGCTCGGAGCAGAATGAAGCTTCTCGTACCATGTTTTCCTGCTGCTGCAGGACAGGCTGCGGCACCCGACTGGAGCAGCATCAGGGGCAGTGCTGTCGAACAGACCAAGGACCTTCCACACCAGCCCGGGCAGATGAAGGGCCACATCTTTATAAGCCTTTGGCATGCAGGCACACGGCATTGGGTGGCATTAAATACCTTCAGCATTGCTCACAGGGTATATACATATATGGGCATATATGTATATATGGAGGTTTGGCTGCAGAACTGCACTAAGGGTGTTATGAGGCTCTGGGGAGGAAAGGCATGAAATGACCAGATTCTACAGCAGAAGGTTTTCCCTGTGGTCTCCCTGGGAAGTGCATGGTTACTAACAGAGAGAGGATTTAAAAATAATGACTTTTTCTGTGGCTGGTCTTGTTCTAAGAACCCTCAGGACATGCACAGGATACAGAGACACACTGAAAGTAGCTGTCTGGTGCAATAAACTACAATATTAAGAGACTTTGGGCATACAGGAGGTTGCTTGCTGAGGTGGCACATATGCAGAGGTAGCCCCACCTATGAACTAGCTTTTCAAAACACAAATTCTTAGGCCAAGTTTAAAGCCCTGAGTGAGCTGTTCATTCAGCAAACACTTCTCAAGAGAAGAACGTGCCAGCTGCTGAGCAGACTAACCTGGGCTGGTTTTGGCATTCTACAATATCCAGGTCCCTTTGGAGGCTCGGGATGTGCATGCCTAGGTGTCACTGCAATGATGCCATTTGGAATTGTATTTTTTGAGAGATGAGGAAGCAGACAGGTTAACGAGGGATGTACAGCTGGGGCAGCACACAATGGTAGTGCTCAACAGGTAAAGGTGCAAAGGCTCGAAGCCAAAGGCCCTGGGGCTCACTCTGCAGCTCTGGCTGTCCTGAGCCAGGAGCAGAGTGCATCAGGTAAGCCTGCCTTAACATTGACATTTACCTGCACAGGAGCGCACCTGCACAACGCTGAGGAGAACCTGGAGCTCCCTTTTCTAAGGGGCACACATGTGATCCCACTGAGCTGGAACCAAGACCTGTGTATCAGACCAGGACTGACAGCTTCCTGGCATGGACAACTAACTGCCCAGCAAATCTCAAAGAACAATTAGCTTTTAGAAGAGGAACAGGAGGCTCTTTAAAATGTTTTTATTGTTTCAGCCAGGTGTTGTGCAGAAATCTGCTTTTCTGACAGCGTCCTGTGCTCAGGTGCAGCTCCAGGCGCTCCTCTGGCCCAGGGACTCATCTTTAGAGCACTGGTTCTGGCTTTCCTGGCAGGACTTCTAATCACTTACGTGGCAAAGCTTTACTCTCATGTTCCTGAAATACATCCAAACACGGCAATGACTGGGGTGCCTACTGAGAAACAAACCCAGACTCCAATGGGCATTTTCTTATCTGAGCTCTGTTCAGAGCAACGGGCCATTGCAAGGAGAATCACAAGGCTGCAAACGAGGCTTCAAGGAAGCCTTTTTGTGTGCGGCCCATGCTCACAGGGTTTTGTTTTACGCTTGGAAGAGGAGAGTCAGAACATGTTTGGACTGCTAAACTCACACTGTAAGGACCTGCAACCCCTCTGCACAAAGACTCCCCTGGCTTTCCCTGAGTTCTGCACTGAAAGGAGCTGTTGGCTCCACAGAAATGGAAATAAATCATGGGTTTGTGTATTATCCCTTGCTCTTTGCATCCCTGAGAACAGAAATAAGCAGCGTGGCCTATAAATGTCAAGACTGAGTCAGAAACTCTATTGTCAATTATTTTTAGCATCAGAAATGGAACTGCAGCACCTTTGGAGCACAGCTAAGGGCCGATTAGGCTGTGCTGCAGCTCTCTGAGAGAATGTGTAGGCCAACAAGAGGTCAGATCCAAACCCCCATGCTCATTAAAGCACCGATTTCGAGTTGTCTGTAAGGAACAAAGCTGTAAATTAGCAAACCTGGTTGGCTGTGGCTGTTGCAGCGAAGGGAACACTTGTGGCAGATGTTGTTGCTGCAGACACAGTGGCTGGCGTAGCACCGTGCACCATGGGAACTTTCGGAAGGAAAATCAAATAAGCAAACGTACAGAAGAGTGTAGCAGTATGGGACCAGAGCGACACGTGGGAGGGTCATTGAGCATGGTTTACCACAGCAGAAAGCCCGAGACACCATTGCCAGCGCGTGACATGCAACCACAGTGCAAAGCAGGACAGCATTCCAGGAGGGAGGGGAGGGAGATGGAAGAGAAAAAAAAGGGGAAAATGCTCGTTACCATCAAATCAAGAAAATCGACACAAACAAGCTTAACCATTTCAATATGAAAAACAACAGGAGAGTTTTTTCAATGCCCTTACATTTACAAATTTTTGTCCTTTAGAAATTCAACCCAAATATTAACTGCTAACAGAAATTAATCTCGTAGAAGGACAGAATACAGCTACGTGGTTATGGTAAGATACAGTCTTTAGTTAACACAAGATAGGTTCTAAACACTGGAACTCATAGTCCAGTCAAAATCCACCAAGGAACAATGTGCAATTAAAAACTGCTGTACAAAATTAACATCTACGTGTCCGTGTCAATTAAATAAAACAATCACATTTAATTGACAGGTGTTAGTGCAGGAGGCTCGGGGAGATGGACCGGCACGAGGGCTGTACGTTAAATCTAGCAGTGGATTTTGAGGGTCTGTGAGCTGCACCACAGGTTTAAGATAATCAAGAAACAAAGCTGGCACCTACCAACACTTGTAGCGGGTGTCATGCACAATATTGAGCCTGCTCATCATGCATTGCAACAGGAAGGTGGATTTGGAAAGGGAAAAGAATTAAAACAACCCATCACACGTGTAATTAGAAATTTCATTGAACAAAGAAGAAAAATTGTTATTACGGGCACAGTGGCATGTAACTGTCAGCACAATCAAACCACACAATAGCACAGTGATCCGTTAGCACGAGGCCCGGGGACAGGTGGGGCTGTGCTGGGACCCTGCTGGGCCCTGCACGGCCAGGAAAGCCTTCCTCAGCTCTAACTCACAGCTCCTGGAACCTTCCTGCCTTGGGACACAAGCTCGTCTTCTCAGATCAAAGGAGATGCTTCCAACTCGCCCTGCCTGGCGCCTGCGGTCCCCAGTGCAGGGACCAGGGACCAGGGACCAGGCCCTGCTGCCCTTGCTGGAGCCAGCCAGGCAGATGGGCAGCGGGACAGAGAGAGCCTCTCCTCTGCTCTCCTCTCCTCTCCTCTCCTCTGCTCTCCTCTGCTCTCCTCTCCTCTGCTCTCCTCTGCTCTGCTCTGCTCTCCTCTCCTCTCCTCTGCTCTGCTCTGCTCTCCTCTCCTCTCCTCTCCTCTGCTCTCCTCTGCTCTCCTCTCCTCTCCTCTCCTCTCCTCTCCTCTCCTCTCCTCTCCTCTCCTCTGCTCTCCTCTCCTCTCCTCTCCTCTCCTCTCCTCTGCTCTCCTCTCCTCTCCTCTCCTCTCCTCTCCTCTCCTCTCCTCTGCTCTCCTCTCCTCTCCTCTGCTCTCCTCTCCTCTCCTCTCCTCTCCTCTCCTCTCCTCTCCTCTCCTCTCCTCTCCTCTCCTCTCCTCTGCTCTCCTCTCCTCTCCTCTGCTCTGCTCTGCTCTCCTCTCCTCTCCTCTCCTCTCCTCTCCTCTCCTCTCCTCTGCTCTCCTCTCCTCTGCTCTGCTCTCCTCTCCTCTCCTCTCCTCTCCTCTCCTCTCCTCTCCTCTCCTCTCCTCTCCTCTCCTCTGCTCTCCTCTCCTCTCCTCTCCTCTCCTCTCCTCTCCTCTGCTCTCCTCTCCTCTCCTCTCCTCTGCTCTCCTCTCCTCTCCTCTCCTCTGCTCTCCTCTGCTCTCCTCTCCTCTGCTCTCCTCTCCTCTCCTCTGCTCTCCTCTGCTCTCCTCTGCTCTCCTCTCCTCTGCTCTCCTCTCCTCTGCTCTCCTCTCCTCTCCTCTCCTCTCCTCTCCTCTCCTCTCCTCTCCTCTCCTCTCCTCTCCTCTCCTCTCCTCTCCTCTCCTCTGCTCTCCTCTGCTCTCCGAATGGTCCCTGTGCCCTGAGCAGCTCCCAGTGACACCCCACAAGCCCTGCTCAGCCTTCTGTTCTACACTGTAGGATGTATTTCAAGCTGCTGGTGCCTGGGCTCACAGCCCCAGCTCCCTTCAGGCCACACACCTGCAGAGTTCTGCCCTGCAGCCAGAGCCACAGCAGGAAGGTGATTTTAGGATCATTCTGGCATCATTTTAAAGTACCACCAAGCTGGCAATTCTCTTTAAGTTACACAGCAAAATGCCTTCCACCAGATTGATCTCACAATCTTCTATTTCTGCTTCCAAGATGATAAGCATATACTGATCTTCCAGAATATCCATTTTAATAAGTTATTTACTTTTTAATTTAACAAATAACATTTATTAACACTGTTAATGATAAGTGACACAGCAGAAATGGAAACAACCTCTGAACTCCAGGAATGAGGTTGCAGTGGGAATGGAAACACATCCTAGCATGCTGGCAGAGGCAGCCAGGCAAGGCTGCCCCTGTGACATCCCAGGCTGTGCTGGGGACAGGAAATGGCCCCGGCCGTGATGCTCAGCCTCAGGAGCATTCCACCATGCAGGGGAGAAGTCAGGCCACTCTAATTACTGCTGGGGCCAAGGTTATCCTCTGTCACTGCTGTATCTGTAAGGCAAGGGCACCATCCTGTTCCCTAATTCCTCCTCTGTGTCAGGGAAGAGACTGGAACACTGGCAAAGAAAGGGTAAAGGAAGGGCGCCTCTCCTGACCTGCCCTGGCACAAATCACGGCTGAAGCCAAGGGAATCTCCACAAGATCAAAGAATGGAGCAGAATTTGGCTAAAAAGTACAAACAGTAAGCAGAACTGCTTTCTTGGTCCCTCTTGTGGGCTCTCCGTGGCATTAACGGGGTTTCAGAGCAGAAGCTCTGAGCTGTGGCTCTGCAGAGGTGCCCCATGCACACGGCTGTGCATCCTCAATGGTCCATCAGCCCAGGCACAAGTGTATGTTACACCTGCTACACATGGGCTGGGTGTTATACCCACTCTGAAACATCCCTGTAACACTCTTCAGTGAAAAGCTCCAAATTCCAGTCTGAATGATCATCATTCACATTATGACCAGTGCCCACAGTTTTGAAAGGGAATTAAAGCAAATGAACATGAGGCAGAAAGTGGAATGCCTGCTGGGGTGGCATAATTCCCAAATAGAGATATTATGCTTTATGACTCTCTTACCAGTAATAAAAATAATTTTTGCTATGATCCTAATATTCAGCTCGACTTCAGATGCTTTGACTTACGAATGAGAACACATGAATAATGAATGTTCACTTTCAATGTTCCCTGGCTGTTCAGCACAAGGCAGATTTTTAATTTGAGGATGTTCCGACTTAAATGACCACAACTTCATAACCAGATTATTTCTGCAACACAATAAAGCTATTTCTATAAATATTCTAGGTTTACTGTTGTTTTAATGATTTTTTTCTCTTCTCTCCCTTGTATTATTTCCCTCAGTCTATTTTTTCTGCCCAATCTAACGCCTAATTAAAAACAACACTCCAGCCAGCACAAGCACTCCTGTGGAGGTGAGCAGTGGTGTGTGGCCTTTCCCTCCCCAATGTTTTGGGGGACAGCAGTGGTTTTGCTCCCAGGGAGGAAAGTCCCTTTAGGAAAGCCTCTGGGCACTGTCCCAGGCAGGAGCAAGGGAGTCTCTGGTGCTGAAGCTGCAGTAATTGAACAAATACACAACGGGTTAACCTGACACAGAGGGAGCTGCAGCCTTTCCTCACTGGCTCTGGGGTTCAGCTGCCAGTGCAACCCTGCCCCTTGCAGCTGCACCACCCCACTCCTGGGAGCATCCTGCCAACCTTGCTTCTCAAGCCAGCCTGGTCACCTGGGGACACACCTGGGGCAGAGCAGCTGCACTCACACCCCTGAGGAGAAGGGAGCTGAGGCACAGCACGGCCCCAGGCACGGGGCAGGATGTCACAGCAGCCCCAGGAGCACTGCAGCAGCCCCAGGAGCACCGCAGGACAAGGAGCAGCTGAAGGTCTGAGCACCTGGAGCTCTGCACGTTCACAGAGGGTCACCCAATCTGCCAAGGTGTCCCCAGCTTGGGGACCCAGGGACCAAAGCCAGGCACGCAGAGCCTCCTGACTCTAGGGCACACTAACTGCCCTCATCTCAACAGCACAAATGCTCCTGGCTCTTTCCTGCCCTGAACCCCCTCTCAGCCTGGGGACAGCTTCCAGCAGCCACGGTTTTGGGGACACCTCAAGAGGGGAGCTGTGCACAGAGGGAGCTTTAGCTGAGAGAGGTGATGTGAATGTCTGAGGAACATTTCATCACTTGAGGCGTGCTGGAGTGCATGCCCACTCCCAGGCATGGATGCTCCCTGATTGTGATCACATCCCTGGCACACAGGCAGCCAGAACAATGCCCCACAGCTCAGAAGAGGTACCTGAGGTTTCCTGCAGTATCACTGGGAGAACATGAGCAGTGAGGGGCCCTGCAGAGGGGAGGGTCCTGCCCGGGGCACAGCCACCCTGTGTGGGTTCTGCAGGTGTCCTGCCCTCCAGCTCTCCTGCACGCTCTGCCTGAGGCAACTAGAACACAAATGAGCACTCACACCTTGGGTGTGTGAACCTGAAAAACGTCACTTTAATGGAGAGGCCACTGAGCTGCCCTGGCCCTGCTCCGTGGCCGTGGAGCTGGGGGCACCCACGCTCCGTGCTCTCCGTGGCTTCGCAGGGACAGATGGAGAAACTCTGTGTCCACGAGACTGTGCCCAAACAGGAACTGATCCCGGCTCATTTGAAGCGGGATAAACTAAAAACGGCAAGAAGCCAAAGACATTTTTCAAACTTTTTGGAAAGTACTGGACTACTGGAAAGCTCAAATTGCAGCTATCTGAAAAATATAAAGAGAGAATTCATAATAGCTCAGGCTAAAAACTCCCTTACTTTTATTGTGTAACATACACTACACTCCAGTGGTCAGGAAAGGTGTAATGAAGCTCAAGAACCACTGCCAAGCTCCTGGAGGTTCCAGGGTGGATCTGCTGGAGGAAGAGCTGAGGTATGGTGTGTCAAGAGCCAGTGGGAAAGACCCCAGTCTATGATGAGGTGCAGATGGGGTCTGGCACACACAAACCACAACCCCAGCTCCTGAGTTCCAGGGGGAAGTACAAATGCAGCTCCAGCATTTCCAGAAACCATCCAGCCCCTTGCTGCTTTCATGGAAGCCAGAAAATTGCAGGTTACAGACTCCACTGGTCATGCTGTGCCAAAAGAGATCTGTGAATTGTTTAACATTCACAGGAAGGATTCTGAGTCTATCTGGACGGGGCTCTGAGCAGCCTGCTCCATTGGAAGGTGTCTCCCCATGGCAGGGGGTCTGCAATGAGGTGGGCTTTCAGGCCCTTCCCAACCCCAACCATTCAGCAGTTCCACGAGCCTGTGACTGCCTATGCATTTGTATATGGATTTTAATATGAGGGCTAGGGATCTGACCTGCAGCTTGCCCAGCCCTTCTTGCTATTGACTCCAGCAAGCCTTGCAACATTTACCAATACATTTCAGTGGCTGCAATGCATTTTTGCATTATTAAAATGCACTAGATCAAGAAACTGATTTTGTGCCATTTAAAGTACACAAGTTGGTTGCATGCCAGATCAAGACATAATAGTGAAGGGCACTGTACTGATCTCCTGGGAACATACTTGCCAAAGATGCTCTGGATAAAATCTTTTAAATTTTTGGGTAGAGATTGATTAGCTGTATTTCTTCCCCTTCCCAGTCTGCATTATGAAGGGCTGTCCTCACAGACTCTATCCCATTTTTGAGTACAGATCTATCAGCTCTGCACACTCCTGGAATGATGGTGCTGCTTTAGTGTGGGTTCAGGATTCAGCTGTGTAACCAAGGGCAGAAGCTCCCAGGACATAGTGGAGATCATTTCTCATGCAGTGCCATCAGCAGAACCAAAGCACATACTCCAGCTTTATGTTCCATCACTAATCCTCCAAAAGGATTTCTGCTTGGTCCATAGTACAGGCATCAACTCCTCACCAATTACACCAGGACTCTTGGCTGAGAACAAAGCACTTGGCTTTACTCAGTCTAAGACCAGCCCTGAGACATCAGTGGTGGATGCCCAAACTGTGACAGCTTGTGTAGGTTTGTGTTTCTCCACCTGTGAGACTGCCTGTGCTGCCTGGGATCACTGCACCCCATTAAAACCTCATTAAAAAACCCCTTCGTGTGTGTGTGACGCAGAGCCACCACTGCCAAGGCCAAGGGGCTTACAGGGAAACAAGCACAACAGCTGAGGGATGTGGAAGGAAGAGCAGTTAATCCAGGGAAAGAGGAAGGAGAGAGGAGATTTCAAATTCTGATTGGGGTGAGAGAGCACGATGCTGATTTTGTGTTAGACTGGAAAACACCCACCCAGCTTCTGCGAGGAGCAGAGAGAAGGCAGCGTGCCCACAGGCAGCCCCTCCTGTGCCCAGGGGCACTGCTGTGCCCTGCCTGGAGGGGCTGCCTGTGCCTGGCACAGCGGCCTCAGCACACAGCACACAGCACCAGCGACCTGCAGCTGCGTCCTGGTGTGCTGCTCAGAAACGCCCCGCTCCCGCCCCTGAACAGGCCAGCGATGCACTTACCTGGTGGGAGGAAGGCTGTATGCTGCTGTAACTGCATGTTGGCAAGAGCTTGCTGGTATTGGAAGATACCAGTGTTAAAGACTGCGGTGGCACCATTGGTTTTTTCAAGCGCAGGCCTCTTTGGTAAGGGGGGAAGTACAGCTTGAGGAATTCCCTGAATGGTGGATGGGTATAAAAATAAAGTCCAGTAACAAAAAGAAAAAAAAAAAAAAGGGAGGGGGTGGGTGGGGTGTGGAGGAGGATGGGAGGGAAGGGGAGAGGGAGGGAGGAGAAAAGGAGAGAGAAAAAGGAAAAAAGAAAAATCAGTAGAAGGCAAAATAACCGGGCAGCACCATGTTTCTCCATGAGCAAGCAAGCGGCATAGCAGACTGAACTACCAAATAAAAGGCGAGGGAACAGCTTTCCAGGGAGCACTGTTTGCCTACCACTACAGCGGCACAGGGAGCGGCGCGACGGCCGCCGCGGGCACCGGCATCAGTGCCACGCCAGGGAAAGCTTCGGGTGGGCCAGGAGCGAGGCTCTCGGGGAAGCAGCACTGCTAGCTCCATGAGGATCACACGTAGAAGCCATGTTAATAGTCACCGTCTGGAGCGGATGGCAGGGCCGCGGTGACACCCCAGCCCCCGGGCCCCAGCGCTGCCCGGGCATGCAGAGCGCGCCGCATGCCGGCCCCGGCCGCCTCCGCGCCACCAAGCCATGCCAACGCCCCAGCGCCGGCACCCGGGAGGGACAGGGACGGGGACGGGGACGGGGACGGGGGAGGGGACGGGAAGGGGCCGGCGGGGCGCGGGGGCGGCGGGGAGGGCACCCAGCCTGGCCCGGCCGCCCGCACGCCCTGCGCCGGGGACGCGGGGAGGGAAACCGGGATGTTCCATCGCTACACATTAACCCCAAACTCGACTCTACGATACAGCTACATGCCAAGCTAAAAGGTGAAAGGTCATAGTACCAGGTCAAAGGTTGCCTCGAGGGGTCGCTTCAGTGATTTGACAGCCGACTGAGTCTTAATTAGCAGGCAGCGAGCACATGATGGCAATGGCCAGTGGGGTCAAGCGCATTAACATAAACAGCAAGCAGAGGTGCGTCATGGGGGCAGCAGTGCATTTGGGGAGGTGAGAAAAAACAAATAAAAACAAATCACCGGATGCCGTGTACAACGGTAACAAGACTAGGCATGCACGGGCCGGCGGGCAGGGCGGCGGGGCGGCAGGGGTGCCCGCACGGCCGGGCTCACGCGCGGCCTCCGCCTCGCCCCGCCGGCCCCGCCGCCCCCTCGGCGCTCCGCTTCCCACACCCACGGGCTCAGCACAGGCGGGACCCCCTGCCACCACAGCCCCCCGCGCTGCCTCGCCTCGCCAGCACGCCGGCTCCTCACGGGGCCAGGCCCGGCCGCTGCAGCTACGGGCCTGCACCGCGACCGGGACAGCCACCGCCAGCCCGCGGGGACACGGGACGGGGACGGCGGCAACACGGTAATCCGCTCCGAACTACACCTCTACAAACACGGGCTTGCAGAAACTAAACACGGGTTTATCTGGCTGTGCAGCAGGACAGATACACATCTGCCCACACACACAGATGTACAGCCAACCAGAGGCGCGAGGAGCCCACACGTACAGACACGCGCACACGTATGCACGCACAGAGGTACGCACAGAACTCTGGACATCAGCAGGCAAAATTAGTCAAACACCTCAATGGTCCGGAACCACTTCACGGCACATCTGGCACCACATGCTGAGAAAGCTCATCGCACCGGGTAGTGACCGGGTCCCCAAGCACACGCACCCTCCTCGGCAAGGACAAACAAACACACATCCACCATTGCCTCTCCTCAATGTATGGCTACGTCCACAAGCGCTCCCACACTCACCATGGCAGCTGCAGTCGCTGCTGCTTGGGCAGCTGCAGCTTGGTTAACCTGGTACTGGGCAGCCTTGATCTTGGCTTGCAGGTGTGCGGGAGGGTGAAAATATTTGCACTTTTCCCGGGAGCACCTCCCTTTGATGTAATCCATGCAGACGGTGACGGTGTTGTCGTTGGTGTCAATCATGGCGCTGTCGGCGGGGTGAGCGAACCGGCAGTCGTTCTCTCCCCGGTTGCAGTTCCCCCGCTGGTACTCTCGACACACCTGTGACACCAGGAAAAGAAAGACACTCACTTTGGGTGATGGGTGCCGCAGGCACGGCTTGGAGCAGAGAAAGCTTTCTGAAAATCCGCCAGAGCATCACGAGGAAGGGGCCTGGCAAGGCGGCGCACTGCAGGGGGATGGAGGGCTCAGGCAGCCAGGTCTGGCTTCTCCAGAGCCACTTCTGATGTGGAGCATGAAACCCCACGGTGGCCAGAGCCAAGCACACAGCAGGTGTCACTCTGGCTCCCACTGAGCTGCCCAGGGGGCTGTTCTGTCTCCTGAAATGTGCCGTGGCTGCTCTTGGGCACCACCCAAGCACCCCAAGGTGCTCAGCCATGCCCTGCTGTGACCTGGCTGTGTTCCATGTCCTCATTAGGGTGAGTGGATGGTGTGTGGCCACCCCCAGGGAGCCCAACCAGGTGGGCACTCTGTGTCCATGCGCCCCCACGATCCAGGCACCTGCCAGGAGGCAGCAAGCCGAGCCCACGGTGGTGGCACAGCCCCTGTGCTGCCCAGCCACCACCCTGGGGAGGTGGGGAACAGCTGGAGCGGCCACAGCTGGAGCAGCCACTGCTCTCGCTGTCACACGCCAGCAGCCAGATGGAGCTGAGGGCTCACACACTGCAGCTGCGTGGGTGACAGCCCCTGCAGTGTCCCCGTGGGCTCCAGCCAGCCCGGAGCCCACACAGACCCCCAGCCACCCCAGCACCACAGACACAGACTGTGCCACCAGTGGGACAAACACCAGCCCCTCTGCACGCGTCCAACCCTGTGTCTGACGCCCTGACTGACACACTGACACAGGCTCCTGTCATGGTCAGTTCTCCCCAGACTGCAACAAAACACACTTTGCATTCCAGATTTCCAAAGGCCATCGGAAACAAGGGGACAAAAGCAACCGGGTCTGCATAAAAATAAAACCCTTTAGTAGATGGAATTTCCTGTTCAAGGTGGGTGCCTGTGAGCTTGGATCGTAAGTATTTCCTCAAGGACGTTGCTCTGATCCCTGCAACAACCCAGATTTGGTGGTGGTTTGGTTTCCCTTCGCACCAGTCCTGTGGCCGCTGTTTAACCCTCGTGCCAGTGCCACCTGCAAATCCTCCATGGGTATGAACTGACCCCCTGCAGGACCAGGACCAGGACCAGGTCAGCTGTCAAAACATTTGTGCAGGGCCACTCCTGCAGGATCCTGCTCATGGGCTTTTTCACATGGTGGCAGGCTCCAGGTGTGCATTGACACTGAGCCAGGCCCGGCCCCTGCTCATCCCGTGCCCTCCTGCTCAGGGCTCACAGAACAGATTCTGCAGCACAGAAACAGCTCAGGCAAATTCCTGGGCTGGAAAAGATCCACTGGCCTGCCAGGTAATCCTGGAGCCAGATCCCTTCCCTGGTCCAGTCCCCTGCAGTGACAAATGCCAGCCAGCACAACAATCCTGATCGCCCCGAGCTGACCAGCTCCAAGAACTTCTAAGCTGCTTCTTTCTGGCAAAGCATGGCCTGTAAGAGCCAAGCAAGAAACAGCAGCTTGGCTGTGGTCATTCCTGACTTGGGAACGCTTCTAATAGAAAATGATGGCATTCCAACAGAAACAGCTGTTTTTGATAAAGTGTTAGGCAATTCCTTTTTCTCTCACTTTTCTGTTCTTCTTGCTTCTTTTCTAGTTCACTGAAGAACCACACTTTGTTCGAGCTATTTCCTGCAGGGGAGGAGTGTGAGGAAAGCTGTGGAAAAGCCTGAAGCCATGACATTTCCATCCTGAGATGCAGATTCCTTACAGGAGTGGCTGAAAGCACTGGACACCCAACACCTGCACTCTCAGTGTGAAATCCAGATGAAAGCAATCCCACTGCTAGTATCAGTCCCTGACCTCACTTCACCAAGACTCACATTAATTCAGGAGACACAGTGCTGCCCGACAGAGTGTGGTGTCTGCCTGCATCCCTGAAAACCCCAGGTGTGCCTACTGAGAGCTTTCAGCCTGGGAACAGCCTGGCTCTGTATGCCACAACGTGTGCTGACTTAATTCCTGCCAGAGTATATCACTCGTGAAAATAAATATTTAAAATTCTAAGCAGACCCAATCATACTCCAAGATTAGATGCTAACATCATTGTGGTTATTTTTCTGCAGGACAGTTCATTCCAAGGGAGAGCGAGTGGAGCCTTATAAAGCTCTGACCATGCCATAACAAATGGCAACGCCACAGCTGCAGCTCCCTGGAAGGGCAGGTAGACACTGCTGGCTCCTCTGGGAGGCAATAGCCAGGTCATGCAGAATCCCCAAAATCCATTCTGCATTTCTACAGCCTATAAAGAACATTCAAATATTTTGCTGTTCATAAAAACTACATGCTTGTTTAGTGTTTGGATACTAAATTTGGATACTCCAGATCAGATGACCACTGTACTGGAAAGCATTTGCAAATTATGTTCTCACCTACATGTTTCACTGTTTAAACTGAATTTGCAGAAGGGAAAAACAGTATTGTGACCCTGAAAGTGCTACTCTATCATCTCCCTGTCATGCAGAGGAGTTTGGCTCAGCAGTGCAGCACTTCTCTGAACAGCAAGAGAATGCAGCATCCAGAGGGACAAATCCTGCCCACTGAGGTCTCAGACGACGTCAGCTCCCTGTGCACAGCAGTCACAGCCTGTGGCCAGCAGCAGGGCTGCCTGGAGGGGCACACAAAGGGGTGCTGCTGCTTCCCGGGCCGCCTGGGGACAACGGTACATCCTGCTTATGGCCAGGATGCTTTTGAGCCCTCATGTCCCACCCTGACCATCCATGGGCACTGCAGGGCTAGAAGCACAATCAAACACAGCAGCTGATCTTGGCCGCACACCCCAAAGGGTTCCCACCATAGGCATCCTCCTCTCCAACTCATTTCCAAATCCATTATGATTTATTTATGAATTTACCTAATTGCATTTTGGTTTTAATCCACCTCTGGCAGGTGTCCATCTTTACACAGAGTCCTCAAGGGAAAATCCTCCCTGGGTGATTCCAAGCAGCCACCCGTGTGCCAGCTCAGAGTCGGCACGGCCGCCTCCCCGCAACCTGAGCGTGCTTTGGGGAACGCTTCCCTCGGGGAAAACAGCTCTAAAAAGGGAAGTGATGTGATCCCACAGGAGGGTGACCTGCGGTGATGTGAGCTCTGAGAATAGTGACAGCGGCAGCGGGAAACGCTGGCTGCCAGATGACCCCGCACACTGCTCCCAGCTCGCCCCTTCTGGGCAGCAGCCTGTCAGCCAGGGATGCAGCTAAGGAAAAGGAATTCATTTGGAAGGAGAGCTCATCCCTGGTAGTGCAGATGCACGGGCAGAAGGAACAGAGTTACACATACAGCAGGCTGCATAAAACAGAGATCCTTCTTGCTCCTCCCAGCGTGCCCCCTGAGCTCAGTGAGCAGACCCACTGCCAGAAGGGAGACAGCAGCAGCCGTGCAGGAGACAGCAGCCTTGACCCTCACCCTGCTGTGTGCAGCACACACCAGGGTGACAGCAGGGCAGCCTGGCTGCTCAGCCTCCCCCTTTGCTGCCTTTCAACCCAGCCAGGGCTGCCAAGCACCTGCTCTCAGGCTGTGCCCAGGGGCTGAGCTCTGTGCTCCCAGGCTGTGATCCACACTCCCAGGCTGTGCTCCAGGCTGTGCCCACGGGCTGTGCTTTCAGGCTGTACTCCCAGGCTGTGCCCACGGGCTGAGCTCTATGCTCCCAGGCTGTGATCCACATTCTCAGGCTCTGCTCCATGCTCTCAGGCTGTGATCCACACTCCCAGGCTGTGCTCCCAGGCTGTGCTCCACATTCTCAGGCTGTGCTCCATGCTCTCAGGCTGTGTTCCACACTCCCAGGCTGTGTTTCACGCTCTCAGGCTGTGCTCTCAGGCTGTGCTCCCAGGCTGTGCTCCATGCTCTCAGGCTGTGTTCCACACTCCCAGGCTGTGCTCCCAGGCTGTGCTCCATGCTCCCAGGCTGTGTTCCACACTCCCAGGCTGTGCTCTCAGGCTGTGCTCTCAGGCTGTGCTCCATGCTCCCAGGCTGTGTTCCACACTCCCAGGCTGTGCTCCCAGGCTGTGCTCCATGCTCCCAGGCTGTGCTCCCAGGCTGTGCTCCATGCTCTCAGGCTGTGCTCCATGCTCCCAGGCTGTGCTCCCAGGCTGTGCTCCCAGGCTGTGCTCCATGCTCTCAGGCTGTGCTCCATGCTCCCAGGCTGTGCTCCCAGGCTGTGCTCCATGCTCCCAGGCTGTGCTCCATGCTCCCAGGCTGTGCTCCCAGGCTGTGCTCCATGCTCTCAGGCTGTGCTCCATGCTCTCAGGCTGTGTTCCACACTCCTAGGCTGTGCTCCCAGGCTGTGCCCACGGGCTGTGCCCCAAGCTCACGGCAGCCTGCAGCCCATCCCTGGCTCCCTGCCCACGCTGCCGCAGCACCGATAAGGTGCTAAAAACACTGTCGGGCCTTTCAGATAAGAGAGACTGGGAGCGAGGGAGAGCGGCAGCTCGAGAGCACCGACACTTGGCAGGGCTGTCGCGGGGGTGATAAGCCAGGTGGGGAGGCCAGCACGGAGCGTGGGCACCGTCTGCCCGAGCAGAGAGGCCGAGTCACCTGCACCCAGCAGCTGCAGCTCTGCACCTCTCCCTAGTGCCCAGGGGCTGTGCCCCCACCATGCCAACGCCTTCTGGGCACACACTAACGGCTCCGGGGCACCCCTGCTGCTGCCACGATCATTCCTGAATATTCCCATTTCCCTCTGCAAGCGAGGGTCAGAGGCAGAGTGGCAGCCTGAACTTACTGTACAGCCACTCAGTCACTTGTTCTCACCATCACACAGACACCGCATAACCAGCCCAAGTGAAACCCGCATTATTTGCTTGCACAAGGAAAGTATTTCCCACCTAGAAGACACAATAAATGATAGCGCTTGTGAGATAAGTTCCAGCAGGCAGCTCCTACCTCCAGCCTGTCTGTCCTCATCAGCTTCTGGGCGGCGGCGGCGGCGGCGGCGGGGACCGGCACGCCGGGGTTCCCTGTCACCAGCATCGGGGCCGTGGGCAGGATCTCAGCAGGGACCAGGCCTGGGGACACGGGCCCCAGGTAGGGGTTGAAGGCGGCTGACGCGTTGGTGGCTAAGCTGGGCGCAACAGAAAACATTGGCTGCAAGTGGAGACAGGGAAACAGACATTTAACATTTGCTGTGCAGCAGCTTGCCACGCTGTCACCAAAACAGCTCCTCAGCATGCCCTGGAGCCGAACGAGGTGAGTTTCTGCTGCTAACTGGAAAGGAGCATTCGCTGTGTTTGTGGCTCGTGGGGAACACCCCTGCAGGTGTTGCCATGAGCAGGAGCGCGGGACAGGGATCCCCACCAGCCTCTGCTGGCCCTCCTGCTCCTGCTCCTGCTCCCTGCACACTCACAGCACGTGGCACCCCTGCAGCAAACTCACAGGGACCCACACTCCAGCAATGCCATAACGAGTGACAGACGCTCTCTGTGGGGTCACACAGAGCCTGGGGCTACCGGGGGAACATGGGCACACCAGTACAATGCTGGCTCTTGGGGAAAGGCACCTGAGAGCCCTGACCAAGCACCAAGCACACTCCACTTCAGGCACAGGCAAAGCTCTTCTGACCCTGGTGCAGCTAGAGCTGGCCCAGAACTCCTGAGGTTTCACAGCCACAATCCTCCCGTTTTACAAACAGGCTGGCCTTGCAGATAATCAGACACTCACTGCATCAGGGAGATGCTTTAGCTAGGCCAAAACATTAAACCAGTGGAAGGAAGAGCACATGCAAACATGATTTTATTTTGTTTGTTTGCAAGTTTTCAAAAGAGAGTCAAGTACCCTTGTGGGTGAGAAGATAACTGGGTGTAGAGCCCAAATAATGCTGTGAAAACCCAACATTGCAGCAAGGATTAAATAACTCTCCTGCCCCCAAATGCAGTGTAACTGCCAAATAAAATTCAGCCAGGAGTGTTTGTCTTTCACTATCTAAATAAGGCAGCTACTCAAGGCATTTAGGTTCTTTTCCCCAACTAATTTTTAGAGGGAAAAACAACTACAGAGTTAACACAACTCTTTCTCTGTTTCATATCAATTTAAGGCAGACAGCAGAGAACAGCACATGTTTCTGTATTTCTGAGGAAATGACTGAATTGTTTGGAAGCAAGAGACATTGGAAATAATGAACAAAACCATGCAGAGATTACTGGAGAAAACAGAATGAGAGTTGTGTAAATGGGTATAATTTCTGTAATGCTTATGATTCTTCATCCATGTGAATGAAAAACAACCTGGCAAATATTACAGGAAATTAAATATTACCCTTAAATACACTATTAATTAACTGCACTTTTCATTACTGGGTTATCAGCTATGTAATAATGAACTTCAAAACAGAACCAGTCTGTTAGTGTGTAACTTAAGAGATGTTGGTGTTTGATTTCAGCCCAACACACTCAAACAGACACCTGTGTGCCTGCTGTACAGCAAATAAGAGTACCCCAATTATTTTCTACTGAGCTTATTTTCTAGCAATATAAATATCCTGCAGCCTTTTGAGCACTGCAGAATGACAGCATGTTATCAGAGCCAGCTGGCATTGCTGGATGGGCTCACACTACTGATGCACCAGCCATGGCCAAGCTGAGCCCAGCTCCCCCTAAAGCTCAATTCCAGCAAGCAATTCCCTGGGACAGCTCCCTTGAGTGGAGGGAAAACACCCAGTGGGCATCCTCTCAGAGCCAGGAGTTTCCTAGAGCACATAATATTGCAAAGGAAACGAAAATCTCATGCAGATCACTCCCTTACCAAACTCTGAGAATAAAGGTGCGAAAGATAAATGAACCCAAGATTACTGAAATAATTAAAAATATCACTTCAGGCAAGGCAGAACTAAGCAACACCAAGACATACAGAGAGGGATTTCAGCGATTTCAGAGGGGCATTTCACTGATTTCAGAGGGGAGTTTCACTGATTTCAGAGGGGTGTTTCAGCGATTTCGGGGGGGAGTTTCAGCGATTTCAGAGGGGCGTTTCAGTGATTTCAGAGGGGCATTTCACTGATTTCAGAGGGGCGTTTCAGCGATTTCAGAGGGGCGTTTCAGTGGGCTCCTCTCCCATTCCCGAGCTCTGTGGGGTTTCCCTGGTGTGCCAGCCTGTGCTGCCTGCACCCAGCCCAGCTCCTGGGGACCCTGGGGTGCACGTACCACGGGCTGCAGCGGGGCTCCGGGCATCATGGCATTGGCCAGCTGCATCTGCTGGGCCAGCATGGCCATGTTCTTCTGCTGGATCAGGTTATTGCGCCCATTGATCTCCAGCTGCGTTTTTAAGTGTGGTGGTGGGTGAAGATATTTGCAGTTTTCCCTTGAACATCGACCCTGAAAGAGAGAATGGACACAGCAGGATTAGAAGCTGCATCTTTGCTCCTTTTGCCATGGGCTAAAGCAAACACAAGCAGACACACTTACCAGATACCTGGAAAATGAGACCTTACATGAGCACAATGTAAAAGTCAGAGCAAATTACTGCTAAATGGGTAACATGGAACTACAACGTGTGGCTGGAATCAGAGGAGCAGTTAACCAACCTGATTCTGAAATCCAGACTAAACTCAATGTCCTCACTTCAGTGCTGGGGTTTAGGCTGTTCCACAACTCTCTGGATGAGATCCAGAGCCCGGCAGTACACGTTGTACATCCCAACCACTTAATGTACTTCATACACTCAAATGCTTTACAGCCATAAAAAATCATTCCTGTGATCTAATGCAATGTCCTCTGGCTCCCAGGAAACAAGGAGCCTCACTGCTTCCCCACTGACACCAGCATCTCTATCCACCTAGGAGATGGTCTTTAAGGAAAGCTGTTTACTCAAAGACTACCAGAATGTACCACAGCCCCAGGTAAATTGTGCTTATGCTTTGCTATCACCAGCTACCATCAAAACACTTACATCCTCCTTGTTTGCATGCAGCTCTGGAGCTCAGGGCACCTTTAACCTTCAATCTCTTTTAATTTACAGATCTTAGCCAATTTCCCAGAAGAAATGCAGACTCGTCTGTCTGGGAGCAGGGTTTCTTGTCTCACTTTTATTCCACGGACCTTTACCCACAGAGGGCCCAGGAGCTGGGAGCTGCAGCTGGAAACCAGTGGCACAGATGTCCCCAGAACACGGGCAGCATTCGTCCCCTGCCCCTGCAGCGAGCAGCTCCCAGTTACCCCACCACTGCATCCTGCTGACTGCATCAGCAGAGGGCAAGGCAGATCTTCATCTCTCTGAACCTGCTCTGAACTCTTCCAACCATTACAAAAGGAATACTATAAGTGAGTAAATTCAGAGGTGGCAGGGGATGCTGCAGTGCCACACTAACTCCCCACACTTATTGGAAGTGTGGCTGCAAGCACACATTTGCTTTGCTCTCCCTGCAGCAGTGAGTCTTTTAATCTCATGCTGCCCCTCCATTTCTTTTTTTGGTGTTTAACGCACAGATTTATTTCCTACTCTGTATAGTTCACTTTCATAGTCAGAAATGAAGAAATGCCATCCGCTCCGGACGGGAGCAGGATGTGCCTGACCTTGCTGTGCTCAGCCTCCTGTGACACCTCATCAGGGGCAGCACAGGGCTCAGCACGGTCTGGTGATCAGGACTTGCATTGGGGGGACTTTTCACCTTGCCTTCAGGGGAGCAGGAGCTGGTACCTGTCCCCAGGCGCCTTCCCACAGGGCACAGGCATCCCCAGCTACTCACCACGGTTTCACGTCCCACAAAGCACAAGGCACTTTGGGTGAACACTTACAGAACTGTGCAAAACGTGGCAAACTCAGACTAAAGAAAATGACCAATCATGCCTTGGAAAAATCACTCCCAAATTCTACATTCAGAAAATCCAGGGTATTCCTAGAAGACTTGGATCCTCTGACAGGTGTGTTGGATCATGACAGCACACCTGGGTTTTTCAGACCTGCACACAGGTGAACGGGAGTGTGCCCATTTCTGTGTGGTCCCCACCAGGCTCTTCCACACACCTCCAGTTTTCTGGGAAGCACAGCACACCCTGCTTTTAACATCCCACACTATATGTTAGGAATATAAGTGCAACTTCTATGATAATAATCTCCTTCCAGAAAACACGCCAATTGCATATTTAATAATGGAAAAGCTTTCTTGGGATCCCCTTCTGACACTGCAAGCTCCTTTACTCGCTGAGTCTGTGACTGTGTAATTTGAAGCGGCCATTCATGGTCAGACCTACAACCCTCTATCATTTAACAGGCCACCTCCTAAAGACCAAAGCAAAATCTCCTTGTGGCCAACAGAGACTCCAGTGAGTGCTGCACATCCCACCTGCCCTGCATGAACACACGCCAGCCCATCACTACTGTACAATTCTTAATGACTGACAGAATTTTCAGCACTGAAACACGAGTGGGTGCTCTGGGGGTGCTGTGGCACCCACTGCCGCTGCTGGAGCTGTGTGTTCCCTCAGCCAGGGGCTCTGCCTGCCCCCTCTGGGGATGCCAGAGCTGCAGCAGCAGCAGCCACAGCCCAGCAGTGCAGCTGGAGCTCAGGGAACCCTTCTGATCCAAAGCAAACACACAAACACCTCCCTCTGTCAGGGAGCACAAATCCCTGTGGCCCAGCGCGTTTGAACCCGAGCAGGACGATGGCTGCTACGTACCAGGAACTATTGCCTGAAAATGGGAAAACTATTTATCCTGATGCCCAGGGGTTTTACAGGAAAACATTTAACTCCACGTAAGCTATGGTTTCCTTTTTAAAAATACACTGCTTGCGGGCGCTTTGTGTTGAGGCCGCCTGCCACATTCAGAGAACCCTTTCCAGTATCTCACGGGGCTGCATGGCTGCCTTGGAGCAGCCAAGAGTCGGTGACTGACACCCGTGAGGCCAGCCAGAGGCAGGGCTGCCATCCTGAGCTGATGCACACGGCTGATGCACAGCCTGCCTGCAGGCCAGCCCAACACTGCTGCAGGGGCACTGCACGCGGCGGGACCATGGCCCCTCTGCCCAGAGCTGGGACCAGGCCGTGCCCAGAGCTGGGACCATGGCCCCTCTGCCCAGAGCTGGGACCAGGCCGTGCCCAGAGCTGGTTCAGGCAATGGGGGCAGCGCTCGCCCCCAGACCCGCAGCTCCCCCAGCCCACAGCCCCACAGCCTGCCATGGGGGGCTGTGGGTCTGGACACCCCCAAACAACTCTCGGAGCAAGCAGAATGGCAGCTGGGGCAAACACACATCTCCGGGGCACGGAGGTGAGGGCATCACCCCTGCGAAGCCCCCTCAGCTCCCCAGGGCTGCTGCTGTGGCACACGATACTGATGGCAGCGCTCTGCAGACGCTTTTTAAAGTGAATGCTTTCCTGTGAAAACACACCAAAGTGACCACTTAGTGACGTCTTTGTGTGTGATTTTGCACATAAAAGCCTCAACCCCTCTAATGGATCATTTGGCTAGCACAGCTAATAGCACTCCTATGGGAGCTGTCCTACTGCCATGAAATACAACAGGATTTAAAAAAAGAAAGAAAAAAGCAAACAGAGCAAGCAGACTGCCAGCACACCAAACAGGAGGAAAGACACCAGCTCAGCAGCAAAACCCTCCCTGTGCTCCTGCTGTCTGTGGGTCCCTCCTCCTCCTCCTCAGCCCCGAGGGAGCACAGAATGATCCCCAGTGCCACAACAGTGCCGTGAGGATGCGGATAAGGGGACGTTCACACCTGTGCCACTTTTGTTTGCACCCACAGTGATGTTAACTGAGCACCTGTCCAGCCCCAGCCACCCTGAGCCGGGGTAAGGTGGCTGCTGGGACACCCCCAAGTGAGCCCAGTTCTCATGTCGTAACAGCATCAGAGATGCATCAAGCACATAGGGACATACAAGTACTCACATAAATTCTTTAACTTTTACAAATTTTATTTATATTTATGTATTTAAAATTTTATGTGTTTTTAACATTTATATAAATATTCGATTTATTTATATTTATGTATTTAGAAATGTATGTGCTTTTAACATTTATATAAATATTCAATGCAATATGTGGTTGATCTCGGTATTACTACAAATGTTTGTATATCCCCATGTCTGCACGGACACCACCACAGCACTGAGCCCATCACAGGGACCCCAGCTGGGCACCCTGGCAGCTGGAAATCACTGCTGGATTCACTGCTGGATTTTCAGACACTGGAATTGAATCCTGAAATGCCAGCACACCCACGTGTTTGGGGTTTTTATTGACAAGAGTTTATATAAGAATTATACCTTTCCTGATTTTCTTGTTATACTTTTAGTTGTATTTTTCCCTTATTTTTAGCAAGTACAGTACCTTGACATGCTGTTTTCAATACAATTTAAACATTATTAGAATACATATGTCAGGCAAATATATTATTGACTGAAAAATAATAAATTCCCCAACACTAGTGGGGAAAATAATTATTAAAATATTATTTTATTCAAGTGAAGTTAAACGATAAATTCTGACTGAAATTTGGGAAGTTTATTAAACTTCATTTCAAACCAGGATTTGAGTATACAACTGAGCACAGGTGAAACTAAGCACTCTGAGAGGAAAAGTTCTAAATGTGAAATTTCATAGCATCACAGAATGACAGACTTGTTAGGGTTGAAAGTGACCTTAAAGATCACCCAGTTCCAATCCCCCTGCCATGGCAGGGACACCTCTCACTGTCCCAGGTGCTCCCAGCCCTGTCCAGCCTGGCCTTGGGCACTGCCAGGGACGCAGGGGCAGCCACAGCTGCTCTGGGCACCTGTGCCAGGGTCACGCCAGACTCACCACCCTCACAGAGAAGAATTTCTGCTCAAAGAACAAATTTGCCTGCACCTATCTTTACAGATAAATAAAACATTTTTTCTGAAACCAAGGTCAGCCTCAAATGGGAACTGTTCTGTGGACCAATGCCGAAGCCTGGAGATAAGATTTCAATTTAATCCCCCGAGCTCTGCTCCGAGATGCCACTTTTCTCAGAATCAGACAGCGAGCCCTGCCCAGGGGCACGGCAGGGGCACAGGTACCTGTGCACAGGTACAGAGCGGGTTCCTGGCACAGGGGGAGCAGGGGCTGCTGGCACTGGAAAAGCCAACAGCCGCTGTCTCAGCGTGAGGAACTTTGGCCCAGAGTGTACAAAGGATCCAAGTTTGAACGAGCGGCATGAGAAATGATCGTGACTCCCTTCAGCAATGCCAAAGCCCTGACAGAACAAACCCAGGGGCTGCAGGGCGTCCCCTGAAATCCCTGAAAGCACCATGGAGAGGTGCCCTGATTCTCAGGAATGCAAACAGCTCCAGGTCCCTGACTGACACATGCAAGAGACATTTTACAGCACAATAAACGCCTAAGA